TGTGTGTGTGTGTGTGTGTACGCCTCTGTGTGTGTGTATGTATGTGTGTGTGTGTGTGTGTACGCCTCCGTGTGTGTGTATGTGAGTGTGGGTGTGTGTGTGTGTGCATGTGAGAGTGAGTGTGTATGCCTCTGTGTGTGTGTGTGAGTGCCTCTGTGCCTGTGTATGTGTGTGTGTGTGCCTCTGTGTGTGTGTATGTGTGGGTGTGTGCCTCTGTGTGTGTGAGTGTGTATGTGTGTGGGTGTGGGTGTGTGCATGTGTGTGGATACACAGCTGGCACAGTATTATGATAAACATTGGTGGATTTCTGGGATATGTCTAAAATTTCTGTGTGCACAAAGGGGTTGCTGGTCTATACTGTAAAGTCATTCCAGCACAGAAGATGGCCATTTGGTCTGTTGAGTCTATGCAAGCTCTCTGCAGGACAATCCAGTCAGTCCCTTTCTCTTTCTTCTCCATTGTCCTTTCTGCTCAAGTGTCCGTCCTGTCAAGTTGCCTTTAGATTTACTTCTGTATTTTTATCCATACTCTGAGGAGAATGCACACTTCATCCTTTGAAATATATGGGGACTCTTTTACAGCAATAAGACATGAGACTGACTTAACAGTATGTCTAACAGTGCAGCACATCCTTGGTACTGCATTGGGAGTGACTGCCTAGACCACCCGTATATGTATACAGACTGGGATCTGAATACACAACCTTGTGATTCAGACATGCTCCACGCTGTGCTGAGAGATCACTCTGGTACCGACTGACCTCTTGTAAAGGGTGATCTCCATCCCAGTCTGGAACAGGCCCAGCTCTCACGGGAATGAATTCACTACCGATTCCACTGCTTGAGCCAGTCGCGTTCCAGTTCTTGGAAAAGGTAACAATACAAGCACACAATTCTAGGAATCTGAAGTAAAAACAAAAAAAAATTCTTGAAATACTCAGCAGGTCTGGCAGCATTATCTTCTTCGATAGGATGTGGGTGTGATGGGCCAGGGCTGCGTTTGTTGTCCATCTCGATATGCGCTTGAACTGAGGGGCTTGCTTCAGACAGCAGCTGAGAGTGGACCACATTCCTGTGTTGGCCAGAGCAGATTTCTTTCCCTAAACAACAGAAATAAACCAAGAACAAAAACAAAAACAAAGTTGCTGGAAAAGCTCAGCAGGTCTGGCAGCATCTGTGAAGGAAAAAAACAGAGTTAACGTTTCGGGTCCGGTGACCCTTCCTCAGAACAGTACACAGATGCTGCCAGACCTGCTGAGCTTTTCCAGCAACTTTGTTTTT